ATTTCTTTCTTTACTTATTTATTTTATTAAAACAGAATTTTGCTATGTAGCCCTGGCTCATACAACTCACTAGGTAGTCCAGGCTGGTTTGAAAGTCATGGAAAACCTTTTGCCTTAAAAGTGTTGGAATTATATGTGTGCACTACCACACCAGCTTCTCTTTGTATCTAAATAATCAGTAAGACTTATGAGTTTTTGTGGGCTTTTTTGTTTTGCTTTGTTTTGTTTTTGTCTTTTTGAGACAGGGTCTCCCTGTAGCCCCAGCTGGCCTGGAACTCACTATGCTATGTAGACCAGGCTGACCTAGAACTCACAGAGATTTGCCTACCTCTGCCTCCTGAGTGTCGGAATTAAAGGCATGCACCACCACTCCTGGCTAGACTTATTAGTTTTATTCCCAAACTATTTCTCAATAGTTTGTACTTTCTCCATCTCTACTGTCACTACCCTGGTCTACGTCATTATTAAATACTTTCATTTAACAAGTTATATTCAACTCCCTGCACCATCTGACAAAGAATTCCAATCCATTCAGTACCTATCATGAGCCATGAACTATATGTAAGATGCTAAAATGTCATGGTTTAAAAAAAAAAAAAAAAGATTTGTTAATTTTAATTTTATGTGAATGAGTGTTTTTCCTGACTCTATATATGTGTAGCATGTGTGTATATGATGCCTGCAATGGCCAGAAGACAACATCGGATCCCCTGGAATTGGAGTTACAGTTGTTAGCCACCATGTAGGTGCTGGGAATCAAACCTGAGTCCTCTACAAGAGCAGCTAGTGCTCTTAACTGCTGAGCCATCTCCCCAGCCTCAGAATTTAGTGTTTCAAAGAGCCATTTGCCTGGATCACTTAAAAAACTGGTCCAGGCCAGGTGTGGTGGCACATGCCTTTAGTCCCAGCACTCAGGAGACAGAGGCAGGTAGATCTCTGTGAGTTCAGGGCTAGCCTGGTCTACATAGTGAGTTCCAGGACAGCTGGGGCTACAAGGAGACCCTGCCTCAAAAAGACAAAACACACACACACACACACACACACACACACACACACACACACAGAGAAAAACTGTTTCCAGCTGGGCAAGGTGGCACATCCATGTACTTCCAGTACTTAGACAGAGGTGGCAGGCAGATCATTCTTGACTCCATATCAAGTTCAAGGCCAAACTAGATTATGTGACAAAACAAACAAGGAACAGGTCTCCTTACAACCATTCTATCAGCTATTGTGATGGCTAATCTTATGTATCAGCCTAAATGGCCTATGAGATGCTCAGACAGCTGGCAAAAACATTATTTCTGAAGGAGTTTGTGAGGATGGTTCTGGAAAAGACAAAATTTGAATGAGTAAGTTTTGTGCTTTATAGATTCTAGTGTCCCCCAAAGTGTTGATCTCTGTGTTAAAGGCTGAGTCCTCCCCTTGGTTCTATTGAAAGGTTGTGGAATCAGAGCTGGAGAGCTGGCTCAGAGGGTAAGGGCACTGGCTGCTCTTGCAGAGGATCCAGGTTCAATTCCCAGCACCCACATGGCAGCTCACACCCATCCTTCCAGGGTATTCAACGCCCTTTCCTGGCCTCCACAGGCACTGCACAACACGGTGCACTTACATGCAGGCAAAACACTCATACACATAAAATCCAAAAAAAGAAAAGAAGGAAGAGAGAGAGAGAGAGAGAGAGAGAGAGAGAGAGAGAGAGAGAGTTGTAGAACCTTTAAAAGGTGGGTCTAACGGAAAGAGGTTTGGGAGCATGCCTATGGAGGGGATACTGGGACCTGAGTGTAGTGCTGTCCTCTCTTTGTTTCCTACTGCCGTGAGGTGATCAGCTTTGCCTACCACCCTCTCCCACTGTGGTGCATTTTTGGCAGTAAGCCTAAAAGCAACAAGCAAACCAACAAGCAAACTGAAACTTCTGAAATTGTGAGCCAAAATAAACTTTTCTTCCTTGTACGTTTATTTATCTCAGGCATTTGTTATAGTAACAGAAAGCTAATTAACATACCGAGTAAGAAGATCTATCCATACCAGCGTGGGTGGGCATTAAGCATCTGCAGAGGGCCTGGATGGAACAAAAAGATGAAGAAAGTGTGAATTTCCCTCTCTCTCCTGCCTTCAGACTTCAGAATTTCAGGTTTGCACACTTTAGTACTCTAGGACATATGTCATTGGTCCTTCTAGTCCTCAGGCCTTAGGCTCACTTTGAATCATACCACTAGCTTTCTTGGTTTTCCAGCGTGCAGAGGGTAAAATATGGGACTTCTCAATATTCACAGTCATGTAAATCAATTCTCATAATAACTCACATATCTATGTGTATTCTTTTGGTTCTGTTTCCCTGGAGAACCTAAAATATCTTGCCATTCTACTTTCCATAGATCTAACTAGCTCTTATACATCAACAAGAGTAACAACCCATTAGGGAAAGTTCAAACTGCAAAAATAGACAATTCACAAAGTGTGAACAAAGTGGTCATAGAAAAATCACAAAAAATAGGAGAAAAATATAAACAAAGCAATGAGCTGTAGATTGGCAAAATTAGGAAAACTGATTATGCTCACTGAAATGAGTACTCATCTGAACTTGGGGTAGTGGCATAAATTTGAACTGTCTCTCTGGAAATAGTTTAGCAATGTGCAGCACAATATAAAGTGTGTGCCTCTTAGAAGACTCATCTCATTTCCAGAAATGTGAACAATTCAATAATTCAACATAGGTATACCCAAGAATGTTCACTGTATTCTTTATAATAAAATTAGAAATAAATACTTGCTGAAACACTGCTGGGGATGGTAGCTCATGCCTGTAACCTAGAACTTTGGAGTTAGAGGCGAGAGGATTTAAGAATTCAAAGTCATCCTACATAGTGAGCTCCAGGTCACATGAGTTATACATTAGATCTTATCTCAAGAAAACAAGAAACAAAATAAAATTTAGCAAAACAACTGTGTTCTTGATGCTGAGAGTAAAAGAAAATTAAAAAGAGACCAAGAGGTGGTGGCTGCTCTCACAGCATACATTCCAAGAGTCAGAAAGACGTTAAACAAGAAGCAACTAAGATGCTCCAAAGAGGTGGCAAATGCTTTGGAGACATAAGACCTCCTTAGAGGAGCTGTAATACAATAACCAGGGCAGGGGTATCTTTAGATAAAGGAGGCAGGAAAAGCCTCTGTGAGCCAGGGACATGTGAAACAGAGTTAGTTTCCCCTAAAAGCTACAGTTTGAAAGTAGCTAAGAAGTCTCTTACATATCTTCAGCCTGAGCATATATAGGAAGGGTGGGCATGTGCTTAGCTGCCCTATAGGAAATAAAACAATCTTCTGATAATACTGAATCAACAAAAGTATACCTGGTTAAGTTGTCATTTACAAGCCAAAGAAGACGCTCATAACAAGCAAGAATATAGAAAATTTAAAACATATCATCCCTTCCCTCGGAAAGGGCAATTAAGAAAAGATCAAACCGACCAAGAGGAATGAAGAAACCAGGGCAGAGGAGCTAAAGGAACACTCAACATCAGGAAAACAATGGAGTGATGACTTCAAGGTCCTGGGGGAAGAACAGGAAACTCACGAATCTTATTCCCAGCCAAATCGTCCTTCAAGTACAATACTAAGGGACATGTTTGGATAAATGCTTCTGTTCTAAAAGAAGCTGTACTAATGGACACTCCATTAGCAACTTGTGTTAAAGACACATCAGTTTTGCAATTAAGCAGCAGGGTGTACCTTTCTGGTATGGAGATGCTTGTGTCTGTCAGTCCATCCCCCACCCCAACCCTATGTTGAAATTCAACTTTTAATTGGATAGTATCAGGAGGTAGACATATTGTGAGATAAAGTCACCTAGAAAAGAGACCTTAGCTTCCACCAAGTAGGATACAAGATGTCACGAGTCTCTAACTAAGATTGCTGCAACTCTATTCTCTATAGACCCTCAAGAAAACCCAATGAAGTTCACAACCTGAAACTGTGAGACATAAATTCTTATCATCTATAAATCACTCTATCTATGGTACTTTGTTTTGGTGGTGATATATGTATGGGGTTGGGGGATGTTTATTTTCTGAATCAAAGTAGCCCAGTTCCCAGGTCAGTCTTGAACTCCATGCATTCTAGGCTGGCTCCAAATTCCTGATTCTCCTGCTTCAGCTTCCAGAGTACTAGGATTATGGCACGTGTCCCTATGTTTTGGCACTTTGTTATGGCAGGCCAAACTTGGACATTCTTTCAAATATATCTTTAAAACTGTCCTGAGCTTATGGAAAGAGCATATGACTGCTATTTTAACTTTAGTTTCTTATTTAAAAATGAACTTGAGCCATTTTTCGAATGTTTACTGGACATACTAATACTGGACATATTGTCTGTGACTTTCCTAATTCGTACTCTGTGACCATAGGGGGTTGCTATTTCCTTATTCATTATTAGTTATTATTATATTGGGAGCATTAATCTTTTAATTATAGATGTTGCAAATATGTCATCCCATTCAATCATGTCCTGTAAATTTGTTTATGCTGTTTTTCATTCCATACTTCAAAATTTTTAAATTGCTTTGTTTAAATTCTAGATTTTCTGTCTTACTTAAAAGAGGAACATTTTGTGGACATAGGCATTTAATCCCAGCACTCAGGAGACAGAGACAGGCGAATCTCTGTGAAATCAAGGCCAGCCTGATCTACATAGCAAGCTACATAGCAAGTACCAGGCCAGCTGGGGCTTCAGGGAGACCCTGACTCAAAAAGACCAACAACAACAAAAAAAGAGAGAGCATTTCAACCACAAGATTGAAATTTTTCCTTTATTTTCTTTTATTCTATAACTTTATCCTTCATCTTTTTCACTCACATTTTTACTTGTCAGTCATATAAGCAAAGATTATAAAATTTAGATGACCAAATTCACCAAGAACAAGTTCAAAGTATAAACCAGAATTCTAGTTGATTTACAATAGAGATTCAAGTCACAATAGAGATAAAAATTTTTACTGAGGAGAATGTGACCTTGTCACAGGCAACTCCACCTGGTCTGTAGTACCCAGAAAGTAAGGTTAGTAAACTAAGCTGCTGATAGTCTTTCTGTAATTAGTAATAACAGAAGAATATTTCTCTCATATCCAAGATGCAGAGAAAGCAGGTACTAGATAAGTCAGACCTACATGAGGCAGAACTTCTCATCAGCCAGAGGAAATAAGTAGCCCTAAGATTCATGACTGAAATCTTCAGGGTCCTTACTTCCAGAACCTCTCTCCTGTGGTTAGGATGCAGTCAGGATGGGTTTCTCTGTTCCAAGTTGCACCATAGACCACATTGAAGCATTCTTTCCTCAGATGTGTTATTATATCTGATTCATAGTCAAATAGCAGTTCCCAAGGGCCCAGGGGACTTTGGGTTCCTTTCATTACCTGTTGATTAAGTTAAATTCACTCAAGAATATCTATATTGGTGAGCTATCCTCGATAACTACACAGCAATTTCATCTAGGAAAATAAGACAGACTTTTAAAAAAGAGTCGAACAATATAAGACTGTATATAACAGATGAAAAATTGACAGTACAAGAGAGTTACTAAAGACTTTTAGGGCTGGAAATGAGTGATGAAGGGGATGAGGAGATCGTGTTTGTCAGTCACATGCTGGCGAGAGCTGAAGCCCCAGCACAGGAGACCGTGAGGGCAGGAAGACTAGGCAGGAAGTGTTTATAGCCATCTCCACAAGGCCAGCTCCCAATTCGAGATCTATAACAGGTTCATCTCATTGGTTGTTAGCTACCTTGTGAGTGCTGGGAACCCAGCCCAGATCAGCATTCAGTCTATTTCTTGTGCCAAAATATTGCTTATTTTGATAATCTACCAATGTTATTAATTTGGCTTAGCAATATTTTCTTTGGTAGTAATACAACCACTTATTGAGGAGCCACATTTTAAAACTTTATTTTATTATTTTTATTTTATGTATATGAGTATATTACCTGCATGTATGTAAATGCACATGCGTCGTGCATTGCCTGAAGAGGTCAGAAGAGGGTGTTGGATTCCCTGGAATTGGAGTTACAGATGGTTGTTAGCTGCCATGTGGGTGCTAGGAATCCAACCCAGGTCCTCTGCAAGAGCAATCCGTGCTCTTAACCGCTGGGCCATCTCTCCAGCCTGCCCCCTCCCCTTTTTCTTTAAAGAAAGAAAATAAGTTTTTTTAGGACACTACAAAGATCAGCAGGTATGGCAGTAACAGAAGTCTACCAAGACTCTTAATA